GCGCCGTGCGGTAACCGAGCCGGTGATAGGATGCACCGTGTGGTAACCGAGTTGGTGATAGGATGAGCCGTGTGGTAACCGAGCCAGTGATAGGATGTGCCGTGCAGTAACCGAGCCAGTGATAGGATGTGCCGTGCAGTAACCGAGCTGGTGATGGTCCTTGCCGTGCGGTGACCAAGCCGGTGATAGGATGCGCCGTGCGGTGACCGAGCCGGTGATAGGATGTGCCATGTGGTAACCGAGCCAGTGATAGGATGTGCCATGCGGTAACTGAGCTGGTGATGGTCCTTGCTGTGCGGTAACCGAGCCGGTGATGGTCCTTGCTGTGCGGTAACCGAGCCGGTGATGGTCCTTGCCGTGCGGTAACCGAGCCGGTGATGGTCCTTGCCGTGCGGTAACTGAGCCGGTGATGGTCCTTGCCGTGCGGTAACCAAGCCGGTGATAGGGCGCACCGTGCGGTAACCGAGCCGGTGATGGTCCTTGCTGTGCGGTGACCGAGCCAGTGATAGGATGCACCGTGCGGTAACTGAGCCGGTGATAGGGCGCACCGTGCGGTAACCGAGCCGGTGATAGGGCGCACCGTGCGGTAACCGAGCCGGTGATGGTGCAGTAATTGGCAATTTCTCCCCGACAGGATCGAGGAAACGTGGAGACTCTGGCAGAAGTTTCTGGATGACTATTCTCGTTTTGATGACTGGCTGAAAGGTGCTGAGAGGACTGCAGCTCATCCCAACTCCTCACAGGTCCCATACTCCCTCGCCAAGGAGGAGCTGAAGAAGTTTGAGGTAATTTCCCGCTGAGCTTGGAACAAAGCGCTTTGAATCATCGTGAGCTGCTGGGGGCATTGGACGGAATCTCTGTTTTTATTATCCTTTGTGTTTTCAGTAGAAAGCGATTCTGCTGTTTGCTCACATTTGTCCCGTTTTTCTAAATGATTTGCTCGCAGTGCTGCCCTGTGTGTGGTTCACCGGGAGGTTGTCTGGGATGGAGCAGTCTAGTAATGAAGACAGGCTGGGTGAGTTCGGGTTGTTTTCTTTAGAGCAGAGAGGGCTGAGGGGTGACCAGATGTAGGTGTACAAGATTATGAGGGGCATGAACTAGGTGGATAGAACATGGGCTGTTCCCTTAGTTAAAGGGTCAGTAACAAGGGGGCATCATATTAAGGCGAAAGGTGGGAGGTTTGCAGGGTATTTGAGGAAAGCCTTTATTGACCAGAGGGTGATGGGAATCTTGAATGCAGTGCCTGGGAGGGTGATTCAGGCAGGAAACCTCACAACCTTTAAAAAGTACTTGGATGAACATGTGAAATGTCATAACATTCAAGGCTATGGGCCTAGTGCGGGAAAGTGGGGCGAGTGTAGATTTAAAGTAGTGATGGTTCAGACTTGATGGGCCAAAGGGTCTCCTCTGTACTGTATCATTCTATGTTAAGTGCCAGGCAATGGTCATCTCTAAAAAGAGAACGCACTCACCTCGATCAACATCCTGTGGGTTGCCATTGACCAGAAACTCAACTGGATTAGCCAAACATTGTGGCTTCAACAGCAGGTCAGAAGCTGGGAATCCTGCGGCGAGTATCTCACCTCCTGACTCCCCAAAGCCTGTCCACCATCTACAAGGCACAAGTCAGGAGTGTGAGGGAATACTCCCCACTTGCTTGGATGGGTGCAGCCCCAACAACACTCAAGAAGCTTGACACCATCCAGGACAAAGCAGCTGCTTGATTGGCACTACATCCACAAACATCCACTCCCTCCACCACCGACACTCAGTAGCAGCAGCGTGTACCATCTACAAGATGCACTACAGAAATTCACCAAAGATCCTCAGACTGCACCTTCCAAACCCACGGCCACTTCAATCGAGAAGTACAAGGGCAGCGGATACATGGGGACACCACCCCCTGCAAGTTCCCCTCCAAGTCACTCACTATCCTGACTTGGAAATATATCGCCGTTCCTTCACTGTCGCTGGGTCAAAATCCTGGAATTTCCTCCCTAAGGACATTGTGGGTCAACCCACAGCAGGAGGACTACAGCGGCTCAAGATGGCAGCTCACCCCCACCTTCTCAAAGTCAGAATTATTGTGGTGCAGGAGGGGGCCATTCGGCCTATCTTCGCCAGACGGGCTCCATTACCCAGTGCCAATCTCTGCCCATTCCCCGCATCCCTGCACACCATTACCATCCACACAATCATCCAGTGCCCTCTTGAATGCTTCAATCGAATGTTCTTTCTCACAGCAAACTGGGGATGGGCAATAAATGCTGGCACAGCCAGAGACCCCTCTTCCTGCGAGCGAATTAGAAAAGTACAATGATGGCTGATTACTCCACATTCCCACCCTTACTCATCTACCTTTGCCCTCGTGTAATCAGTAATCTCAACCTGTATGTGAAAGAGCGAGAGAGATGGTGACAGATTCCTCATGAGCTGGCTGTTTGCTGTTGGAGGTGTTGCCGGGCAGATTTACTCATGGTACTGGCTCTGAACGATGTTACAGGGAGACTGGAGAATCTGGGATTGCTCTCCATCCAGCAGAGAGGGTTTTGGATGAGATTTGATGGAGGCGTTCACCATTGTGATAGGGTAAGGAGGAACCATTTCCAATGACACACGGGTTAAAAGCCGAGACCACAGATTTAAGATCTCCTGTAAAAGGTGAAGCTGAAATGAATATTGATGTGATGAATTATAGTGATCTACAACACACTGCCTGAAAGGATAGAGGAAGCAGATTCACTTACTAATGTTGAAAGGTTATTCGATATATAATTAAAGTGAAGAATTATCAGGGTTATGGGGGTGACAGTGGGATAGTTTGGATGATTTTTGTTTTTAAGAAGTGCCAGTATAGGCACAATGGGTTGAATGACACATTTCCGTCCAGTCTGTGTGATTCTATGATTTGTTCTATTACAACAGACCTTCCAGAGACAGATTCACGAGAGTCTGACACAGTTGGAGCTGATTAATAAGCAGTACAGACGGTTAGCAAGAGAGAACCGCACCGATTCCTCCAGCCAGCTCAAGCAGATGGTTCATGAGGGGAACCAGCGCTGGGACATCCTCCAGAAACGCATCGCTGCCATCTTACGCAGGCTCAAGGTATTGGCAGCCAGAGCTGGGTGTGGTCAGGCAGGGCACAGGAGATGGAGTCACTTTGCAGCATTGGAGTTGAAGCTTACATGGAAACATAGGAAACAGGAGTAAGAGAAGGCATTTCTGTCCTTTTGAGCCTGCTCCACCATTCAATACGATCATATCTGATCCTCCAACTATGTTCCCTATTCCCACCTCCTCCCTATGCCCTTTGATCCCTAAGAACTATATCTAATTCCTTCTTGAAAACATTCAATGTTTCAGCCTCAACCAATTCCACAGGCTCCTCACTGTCTGGGCGAAGACATTTCTCCTCATCCCGATCCTAAATGGCCTACTTATTGGGAACATCCTTCCTGCATTTACTTTGTCATAGTCATAGAGTCATACAACACAGGAGCAGACCCTTCGGCCCAACTCATCCATGCCAACCATGTTTCCCAAACTAAACAAGTCCCATTTGCCTGCATTTGGCCCATAGCCCTGTAAATCTTTTCTATTCATGTACCTGTCCAAATGTCCTTTAGACATTGTAACTGTACCTGCATCAACCACTTCCTCTGGTAGCTCATTCCACACATGAACCACTCTCTGTTTGAAAGGGTCATCAGGTAGAATCACTGAGCTCTTGTTTGTATAGTGCCATGAGAAGGAAAGCACGACTTCTGTTTAAGATCTCACCTAAAAACAGGTATCTAATTGCTGTGAGAGTGCAGCACACTCTCAGTACCGTACTGTGGTGTTAATCCACACACTTACAAACCCAGAGGCTGAACACTGCTACTCAGCGTAGACTGGCACCTAGATTCGTCCCTTCAACGGAGATCAGATAAGGCTGCAGTGACCCTGTCCTCTCTGTTGGTCCCCTTCCTTTACTCAATCCTGGGATGTGGGTATTCCTGGTAAGACCAGCAGTTCTGCCTGCAATAACATCCTGTTAGAACTGTATAGGTTTCTGTAAGATCCCACCTCAATCTTCTAAACTCAGCACAGGAAGAGGCCACTCAGCCCTTTGAGCCTGTCCTACCAGTAGAGCAATGAATTTCCTGGGGGATGAGTAATCAAGTCATAAAACAAATTCCTTCCACAAAATATCAGAACAACTTGGGTTTTTTTTTCATTTGTGGGATGTGGGCATCTCTGGCTGGGCCCAGCATTTATTGCCCATCCCTAGTTGCCCCTTGAGAAGGTGGTGGTGAGCTGCCTTTTTGAACCGCTGCAGCCCTCCTGCTGTGGGTTGACCCACAATGCCCTTAGGGAGGGACTTCCAGGATTTTGACCCAGCGACAGTGAAGGAACAGTGATATATTTTCAAGTCAGGATGGTGAGGGGCTTGGAGGGGAACTTGCAGGGCGCAGTGTTCCCATGTATCTGCTGCCCTTGTCCTTCTAGATGGAAGTGGCCGTGGGTTTGGAAGGTGCTGTCCGAGGATCTTTGGTGAATTTCTGCAGTGCATCTTGTAGATGGTACACACTGCTGCTACTGAGCGTCGGTGGTGGAGGGAGTGGATGCTTGTGCATGTGATGCCAATCAAGCGGCTGCTTTGTCCTGGATGGTGTCAAACTTCTTGAGTGTTGTTGGGGCTGCACCCATCCAGGCAAGTGGGGAGTATTCCATCACACTGCTGGGTGTGAGGCTAATAGGCTCATTAATAATGTTCTGCAGCATTTTCCTGTTTTTGTTAATCCCCGAAATTCTCCATCTGACAACTTATGAGCCTGGACCCTGACTGTAGAGGTTCTTGGCTCAGCTGAAGCAAGCACAGGCACATCAGGTCAGGACTTATACACTTCATGGTAAGGTCCTGGGGAATGTTGCTGAACAAAGAGACCTTGAAGTGCAGGTTCATAGTTTCTTGAAAGTGGAGTCGCAGTTAGACAGGATAGTGAAGAAGGTATTTGGTACGCTTGCCTTTATTGGTCAGTGTATTGAGTATAGGAGTTGGGAGGTCATGTTGCAACTGTACAGGACATTGGTTAGGCCACTTTTGGAATACTGCTTTCAGTTCTGGTCTCCCTGCTATTGGAATTATGCTATGAAACTAGAAAGGGTTCAGATAAGATTTATGAGGATGTTGCTAGGGTCAGAGGGTTTGAACTATAGGGAGAGGCTGAAAGGCTGGGGCTATTTTCCCTGGAGCATCGAAGGCTGAGGGGTGACCTTAGAAGTTTATAAAATCATGAGGGGCATGGATAGGGTAAACAGGCAAGGTCTTTGGCCTAGGGTGGGGGAGTCCAAAATTAGAGGGTCACAGGTTTAACGTGAGAGTGGAAAGATTGAAAAGGGACCTAAGGGGCAACTTTTTCACGCAGAAGATGATGTGTTTATGGAATGAGCTGACAGAGGAAGTAGGGGAGGCTGCTACAATTACAGCATTTAAAAGGCATCTGGCTGGGTACATGAATAGGAAGGGTTTAGAGGGATATGGGCCAAATGCTGGCAAATGGGACTAGTTTAGTTTAGGATATCTGATCGGCATGGACAAGTTTGACCGATGGGTCTGCTTCCGTGCTGTACATCTCTGCGATTCTGTGACATTTAGGAATTTACATTTAAAACCACAGTCAAATGTAAACTTGGTTGTCAGATACAGTGGGATGCAGTCATTTCTCTGCTGTTTGATGTGATGCAGTTCAGTAATTTTGTGAAAGGACCGACTATATCCCTTTCACACATTTATTTACATGTTGTTTGCTTCTATGTGTTTTTCTTTCTGCATTATTGATCATCCTTTCTTTTCCTCTTCACCTTCTTGCTCCTGCCAAAGTTATAAGAAAGGATTTTTAGGGGACTTGACAGGGGGGATGTGGGGAGGTTGTTTCCCCTTGGTGGGAGAGTCGAGGCCCGGGGGCTATAATCTCAGAATAAGGGCGTCACACATTTCAGACAGCGATGAGGAGGAATTTCTTCTCTCAGAGGGGAGTGAATCTGTGGAATTGTTTACCACAGAGGGGCCTATCTTCCAACACCTTTCAGTTCTGAAGAAGAATCAAACCAGGCCCGAAATGTTAACGGCTGTTCTCTCTCCACAGAGGTTGCCAGACCTGCTGAGTTTCTCCCAGCATTCTCCGTGTTTGTTTCAGATTTACAGCATCTGCAGTATTTTGCCGTTACTAAAGTAGTTCAGTAATTTGCTTTTAAATTAGAACGTAGAACATAGATCATTACAGCGCAGTACAGGCCCTTCGGCCCTTGATGTTGCGCCGACCTGTGAAACCAATCTGAAGCCCATCTAACCTAAACTATTCCATTATCATCCATATGTTTATCCGATGACCATTTAAATGCCCTTAAAGTGGGCGAGTCTAATACATTTGCAGGCAGGGCGTTCCACGCCCTTACTACTCTCTGAGTAAAGAACCTACCTCTGACATCTGTCCTATATCTATCACCCCTCAATTTAAAGCTATGTCCCCTCGTGCTAGCCATCACCATCCGAGGAAAAAGGCTTTCACTGTCCACCCTATCTAATCCTGTGATCATCTTGTATGTTTCTATTAAGTCACCTCTTAACCTTCTTCTCTCTAATGAATTGTTGCACACAGAGCCTTATTCCCACTTTTTGTGATTCCCCAGCTCACAAGGGCCAGTCTGGGTAGTGTGAGGGCACCATGTGGGCCATTTTCCAGCTGTCTGCTTGGACACAGCATCCTGCTGAAGATTGGCCTACAGCCGAAGTCAGTGCTATGGAGATGACCCTCAGTCTCTGGGGCAGCACGGTGGCTCAGTGGTTAGCACTGCAGCCTAACAGTGCCAGGGACCCAGGTTCGATTTCAGCCTCAGGCAACTGTGCAGACTCTGCACAGACATTCTCCCCGTGTCTGTGTGGGTTTCGTCCGGGTGCTCTGGTTTCCTCCCACGGTCCAAAGATGTGCAGGCTAGGGTGGATTGGCCATAGGAAATTGCCCGTAGTGTTCAGGGCTGTGTAAGTTAGGTGGATTAGACATGGGAAATGCAGGGTTACAGCGTTAGAGTAGGATAGGGGGCTGGGTATGGGTGGGATGCTGTTTAGCAGACTCGGGCTGAATGGCCTCCTTCCTCACTGGTGGTGATGGGGTAGGAAGAGCTGGTGGGACTTCAGCCCCCATCAAAAATATTCAAGGCCTTGTCCTGGGGCCCGAGAATCCTGAACTAATTGCTGCCCCCTCACTCCATTGCTATTTCCACAGCACTTCATCAATCAGAGGGAAGAGTTTGAGAGTTGTCGGGAATGTATCCTGGTGTGGCTCACTGAAATGGACCTGCAGCTGACCAACGTCGAGCATTTCTCTGAGAGTGACATTGATGACAAAGTACGGCAACTGAATGTGAGTATAGCTCGATTTGGGGCAGCGTTCACGCCCTGTACAGCCCACTATCCTCCTGCCCATGTCCTTCCTGCAAGGCACAGTTTCTAGCGGGGGTGTTGAGTGGAGTTCACTCCCTTGCCTGTGTCGGAAGGATTTTGTCTACCCCTGGAGGCTTGAACCCATCATCCAGGCTGGCATTCCCACTGCGGTGCCATGGGACAGTGCCACGCTGTCTGATTTGCTAAAACCCAACGCCCCATCTTCCCTGTTGAGTGGGTGTGAAAACCGCAACAGTGATGTTGTTGGAAGAGCAGGGGAATTTCTCTCAATGTCCTGGGCCAATCAACCAATCTCCCTTCAAAATTGAATATTGATCTTGTGGGTGATCTGTTTGTGGGAGCATGCCGTGTGAAAACGAATACGTTTACTTGGGTAATAATGCCACTGGATTTTAATGTGATTCAATGTTTGAGACGTACACTGGGATTTTTGAGTGAAGTGGAGCGCTAAATGGACACTTCTTTTCGATTTTCAAATCTTAATGAATACACAAACAAAATTATGCTGACCCAATTCGACTCTTGGTTAAAACTACATTTCAAGTTCAGTTCTGCTTGTCATACCAGGAAAAGTACATAAAGGCGCTGCAGAAAGTGCAGAGCAGATATCGCAGGACGATTCGAGAAATGTGTGAGTTTCTATTTCAGGAAAGGACTGACAGGCTGGGTTTCTATTTTCTTGAAAGAAGAAGACTAAAGGGTGAGCCAGTAGAGGTCTTTAAAATCCTGAAAGGTCCAGACAGGGTCAATACGGAGACAATGTTTCCTCTTGTGGTGAAGGGGCAGAACTGGAGACTGTCAATATTAGATAGCCAGCAAGAAATTCCCTAATCGGGAATTCGGGAGAACCTTCCCATCCCAGAGAGTGGTCACACTCATAGGGAGAGGTTGACACAAATAAAACAAATACAGGTGGTAGGAATGTCTGTCTGATAAATGCCCATCCTTATGAGTGAGACCCCAAACAGAGGTGCATTAATATTAATTTTATACATCAGATGTGTTCATTTGCTCATACTTATGGCTATTTTATGTTGTACTGTACTACATTCCAACTGGCCTATAAATCAACAATGAGGGAACCCATTCATAACCCAGGGACTGCATGTATAATTAAGAGGAAATGAGACCAACGTTTGAGTGTAAAGGGAATAGATGGGAATATGCTCAGGTAGACCATAAAGGCAGCCTTATCTTTGTTGGGCTGAATGGCCTTGTTTGCGCTGTATTGCTGTGTAAGCTTGTGGGTCTAAGATGAGGCTTTACCCTTTCTCTCCAAAAACTGCTGACCTTTTTAGTCCATTTGGCCTTTCTTCATCTATCGCAGGGTTCCCAGAGGACCTCACCCAGTCCCATTATGCCTGTGCCAGGAAGATAATACAGGAGGAGGCCATTCAGCCCCTAGAGCCTGCACTGCCATTCAGAGAGATCTGCTTGATCTGTGATCTAACTCCGTGAACCGTGAAACGTTTCCTAAATTCACTCCTGAAAGGATCATCACTAATCTTTTAGACTCCTGCCCCAGATCCTCGACCGGGAGTAGGCTTTCTCTATTTTCCCTGCTCTGTCACTATTTCTTTAAAATCTTCTAAATTTGGATCAAATTGCCCCTTAACCTTTGGAATCCCTCCGTATAACCTAACCCCTCGAGTCCAGGTATCATTGTGGTCAATCTACGCCGTGCTCACTCGAAGGCCGTTATAATCTTCCTGAGGTGCAGTACACAGACCTGTTCCCAGTGAGTCTGTGTACAATCTAATCACGTACTGTCCACGTGCAGCAACCCCCTTAGATTCCAGTGTAAAGATTAATTTTTCAGTTGCCTGTTAGGTTGCTGTTTCTAATATTTGACAGATCTGTGTACCTGACCGCAATTCTGCACCATTTCCAGGAACCCACTGTTTAGAAAGAAAGTAGCCAGTGACATTCCCCTGTGCACTTCTTCAGCTCCCTGTTCAAAAACACTCCATCAGGATTGTAAGGTCTGACCCCCACTTCACAAATGCAGCTGGGCTTTCTCTACTGAGCAGTGACGAGAGAACATGTCCCCTCAAACCCCCACTCCTCCACCCCTCACACCTGGGGGTGGGGTGGGGGAATGCCTTAGAAAGGCAAGGCAAGTGGCCCTTGGGAAAGCAGCCAAGGGGACAGGGAATGGCTGTAAAACTACAGAGCAATCCAGTAAAACTGCACTACGATTGGTCAGAGAGAACACAGTATGGAGCTGGAGGAACACAGCAAGAAAGCTGACGTTTTGGGTCGGGGCCCTTAGTCCTTTCCTGCTCCTCTGATGCTGCCTGGCCTGCTGTGTTCCTCCAGTTCCACACTGTGTTATCACAGACTCCAGCATCGGCAGTTCCTACTATCTCTGAAGATGATTGGTCACTCCAGCCATCAGCAACTGGTGTTTTTCTTTGTGACGACCCACAGGCCTTTCAGCACGAGATCACCCTCAACACCACCAAGATTGACCAGCTCATTGTC